GTATAATTTGCCTTTTAACTTTTGTAAGCTATATTACGTTCATTGGTTATGATTTTCTGTAGGTACTGAGCCTAAAATTAAAGTTTTATACTGTAATTAATATAAAAAATAACTTATTCACACAAAAACATTCTACATTTCAGCATAAGCCTTCTCCAGGAACAAAAATAAAAATTAATTAAGCAAAAATCAAAAATACATATAATTTATAAGAAAGTAATAAAGAAAATTTTGATAGAAAAAAAATTGTGTATATTTTTATTTTAATATATTTATATTAAGTCTCAAATTTAGACCAGATGGTGTTTTGGATTTAAGTACAGTATATAAATTATGAGCTTGCTCAAGCTGTCTTAATTTTAAGTCTGATGCGTCTTTTCTTATTCCTTTAAATGAATAACACTGTTGAATATTTTGAGAATAATCTTTTTAGCGAATTTCCCTATAGGGAAGTAGCTATTACCATTGACTTTATATCTACACACCGTAGGTGGCACGATAAAACCTAGGCCCGGGAACAATTTACTTTTTCATTTTGATGTCCCCAGAGGCCAAAAACACCATTCGTTCAAATTTATATATATATTATTATATACACGTCAGTGAACTTGAGTAATTTTTGTCCGATTATGATTTAATTTGGTTTAAAGGTAATTGGTTAAAGGCGGGTTAAACTTGAATGAGTTTGCAAACCAGCATGATCAGACCATGGAAACGGGATTTTACAGGGGGTTTTAAGGAGTAAAAAATGGTTTTCTCATTTTTGATCCACAAAACACAAAATAGAGATTAAAAAAAAAATTATTTAGTATACCAAAGTGTTTTTGTACAGTTATTGGTAATGGAGAAAATTAAAAAAAATTTTAAATTTAAAATTCCCACGTTATTCTTATGGAGAATACTGTCAAATGTTGTAGTTTGCTTGTTTATGGATATATATTTTGATCAAACTTGTCAAATTTATTTATTTTATACCAAGCTATCAATATTTTACTAAAAAAATATACTTTATTAGTTTCCTTGTAGCAGCAAACCTAGGTATACTCGTTAATCCTAATGTTATTTAAATAGATTTAATTGAAAATCAATTCAGACAAATGGGAATTCGCTTAGTCAGTAGGTTTGCCGCGGCAACTAACAACTAAAATAAAACGTAACTTTAGTAAACTTGAAATACTGCCTTCATGTGAACAGCCCAAACCTAATACAGTAATGAACCAGTTTATTATTTTGGAATTGTTGTTGCCTAGATTTGTCTGTGATGAAGAGCTGTTTTGCCAAGAGACATCAACATACTAGAAGCTGTTGAGATCTCATAATGTATCACTTTTAAGCTCAAGGTAGTTTTTTTCTTTGTAGCATTAAGTGTTTATAATTGATATTTCTTAAAAATAAAAATAAATTATATTTCATTAATCTGTTTTTAAAATGGAAATAAAATGCCCTTATGAAAGAGACCAAGTTAGGACTAACAAGGACTCTGATACTTAATTTCTTCATAAACCATATATACTTTGTAAACCGGTTGAGTCTGCTACTAACCCTGCAACTCGCCAGACGAAATCAGTATTATTATCATGATTGCACTGAAATCAGTATTATTATCATGATTGCACTATCTAAATGTTTGTATATTCATACCATATTTATTTTCGTGTTGTGCTTGTTTTAGTGGTGTTTTTGACGAGTTGCAAGCTTTGTGAATGTTGTCAGATGTAAACTATTGAGCAATCTTAATCGTTGGTCTATGATGGGGGTTTGTAAAACCTATTAATGTCTTTGGAGATTGTACAAACATGAAGCCATGAGCCAATTTGCTGATTCCCCTAGTTGGTACCCATCAAAATTACAGTGTCTCGATCATTGACTCTGGACACAGAAGTAGACATCCCATCTACAAATATTATTATCATATGGACCGACCAACTGTCGCTATTTTTTTTTATTAAAAAGAACTAGTCTTGTGGGTTGGACACAGATTGAGCTAGCCTAAAATTATTTTTTTATTTTATTGTCTCTGAAATTTAACTTGGTTGAAAGTCTGCATATTCGACAGAAATTACCCTATTTATTTGGAGCGCCAAGGTCTCGATCATTAACAGAGTTGCCATGTCAGTGCTACTTTCAGTTGTATTTCTAGCTCAGAGGGCTTAGATAAGGTAGCAGCTGATCTCAGTGAGTATCGAAGCCATCTCTTTCATTCAAAACTCGTCCTTCAGCCTGGTGTGTTGGTGTTATAGAAATCTAATCTAATACTTCTCTGGGACTCTAACTCTGTTATGCCTCCTCTATGTTATGATATACTATACTATTGTAGAGAACAGGGTAAATGATAGTACAAAATAAATTCAAAACTTATTTAATACTCTAGTTATCGCAGTAACCTTATTATAATACAAACATTGCTTGAAACAGGCTTAAAAAATGCATACAAACGACAACACGTGTTATGGTTTAAACCACATTTACAACAACACAGACACTCCAGTTATTTCTGTACATATTTTACATTACGAGTATAAAATTGGGTCAACGATAGTATATTGACATTAGGAAAACGTTCACAAAAATTTGACTGGAAAATCGTAAATTAAAGCAATAAAATTTGGTACATGATTTTTAATCCATACCTTAATACAGTGTTGAATTTAATCTAAATTATTCACGAATACATACAAATAATAAAATATTACCATTCTGGAATTCAAATTACTTACGTAACAACACCTTAATTAGAATTTTATACGAATAAATTACAGAACAGGGTTATTCATAAGGAAATCCTAATGGAAATCCAACCAACATTTATTTAGGATGTTCCATTCATATTTATGAAATATTTTTACACATTTTACAAAATTAACATAAAAACAGTACAGAAACAAAATTGATGCTTTGTCCAAAACTTAACAATATCTCATTATAAAATACTAAATAATAATATAATTACTGTGCATTTTATCAGAAAACTACTTCTAATTTGGTAAGGAAGAAGTGGTCCCAAACATATAATCACTGGTGGGCTTAGACTAGCTCGGAAATTGTATTTCTGCTCCCAAAACAAATAGCTTTCTCTGTAAAACAAAATTAAATTAATAATAAAGCAAAACAATAAAATACAATAGTTATTAATGTCCACTTATCACAAAAAAGTAAGAAATCAGAGAGCACCACTAAAGTGGGGACTAACAGACACTAGTTGTGTAACCAAACTGCTTTCAACTCTGGAAATAACCTCTCTGTACCTTTGTTCTTTTACATCTTTGTACAATGAATATTTAAATCTAAAGAATCCTAATGATCTGGTAACTTAGATCTAATTTTCTGTAATTTTGAGCTTGAAGCAAATCAAGTATAAATGATTAGTTATATTGTAATACATCTAAGTTAATATGGAAGTTCTAAAGGAATTGGGTAGATTAAGGGATTGTTAATTTACAATTTTTTTATATTTTTATTATGACCATTGAATTTAGAATCTCGATAATATATTATCTCAATTAAGTTTTTTCTTTAATTTGTTTGTCAAGGTTTAAAAATTTAAAGTAAAAAACTGAGCATTTAAATGTAGAAAAAAGTTTAAAATACCCCCGCTGCAGCAAACCTGCAGACTAAGCGAATTTCCATTTGACTGATTGGATTTACACTGAAATGTCTACTTAAAAATATAACATTTATTCTTGATTTAAATAGAATTAGTTTAACAAGTACTTAGGTTTGCTGCATCAGGGAGGGTAAAACTGTTTTTTTTTGTAAAATGTGAATAGTTAGTAAGAAATAAAAACATTTTCCAAATTTGATCAAAATATGTTCACAAACAAGCAAACTACAACAGTTTACTTATTCTCCATAAGAATAACATGGGAATTTTAAATTTACAATTTTTTTGAATTTTCTCCGTAACCATTAGGCGCATAGTAACGCTTCAATATACTAAATTATTTGTTTTTTTAAGCTCTACAAAATGGTTTGGAAAGAAATTGCTAAATTTTATGTTTTTTGGGTCAAAAATGGGAAAAACCTATTTTTACCCCATAAAACCCCCCGTAAACCCCCGTTCCCATGGTCCGATCATGCTGGATCGCGAACTCGTTCGAATAAACGTACTTTTACACGTTTGTACCAAATTTCATCAAAATCGGATTATTTTTGCTCGAGTTATCGTGCTGACGGACACATATATATATATATATATAAATATATAAATATATATATATATAAATATATATATATATATATGAATTTGAACGGATGGTGTTTTTGGCCTCTAGGGACCTCAAATCGAAAAAAAAAATCGGTCCCGCGTCCAGGTCTTACCATAAGTACTACGGTAATAGCTTATTCCCTATATGGGAAATTCGCTAAAAATATATAAAATGTAGGAAGACATGGTAAACTGCTAGACATTCTAGTTAAACTGTTTATCTGATACAATGAAATAAGCATTCTTATGTTAAATATTTCTTATAAATTCAATAACAAAAGCTATATTACTACCTGATCAAGTACCTTACGTGTTATATATTTTCTTTTTCACAATGGTAAAATTTAAGCCATTTCAATTATCTTAAAGTGCCATACACTATTTAAGATAAAATGGTGATATAAATTTGTTAACTTCCCATAAAATTTTAAAAGCACAAAAACACAAGTGAAGTTCAGAGACACAAAACATTAACTCATAATAATATCAACAAAATAAAGAGGTTTTAAGTTTATCTTTTAGGTACAGTAAGCCAGTAACTAATTTAATTTGAGGCTCTATTCTACCTCTGCTATGCTGTTATGGTAGCCATTTCATAGAACAGTATTAACAGTATTATACAATGGTAGACAGTGTTTATATTTCTAACAGTTATTTTCAATGTTCATCTATGTTCAAAAGAACCCTAAAGAGGGGGAAAGCTTATGTAAAAACTCTTAGTTCAGTTCTTAAACTCAGAGCAAGAGAAAATCAGCTGATCGTTCTTCCCTTGCTCGAAATAGTATATTTTACTACCAGTTTTTGACTTGCATGTAAAACACTATCTCACCCCGAAATGGGACTTTCGTGACGAGTATTGAACGATACTTTTTATCACAATAAAAAAAACTAATTCATCAAACTTAAAAAAAATATGTGATCTTCAGTTGTAACTTTGTTGATGTCAGGCAAAGTATTGTTTGTCTAGCGAAAGTAATGTTTATGTCAAGAAAAGTCAGCTGATCACTATTTGTTTTTGGTGTATGGAAATTGACAATTTTCGAGGATCTCAGATGTATGGAAATGGGCTATTTGAATACAGAGTGATGAAAAAATCATTACTACACAGACAGTTAAAAAATGTAGAAAATTATTAATAGCCACTTTCTTAGTATTAAACAGTATAACTTCCCAATTCTGGGAAACAATGATAATCCATAAAGTTTATAGAGTAGGGTTAGAGTGCAGCATACATGTTAAATAGAAGCTTGAAGAGTTCAATCAGCTCTAAAGAGCATTGGAATTACATTCTATCAGATATTTACATCTTTACAAAGTTGCCATCGGATAATGTGTACAAATAATATAACAGATTGGCTTTTTTGTAGAACTCTGCTTAAAAAGATAAACTTGAAACATGATTTAGTTAAGTACCCAAATACAAATATTGTAACAACATTAAAATTATTAGCTATAGACCGACCAAATACAAAAGTGGTAAGTGGAAATATTTGTTATTAAAAATAGTTCCTCAAAACAGTCAAAACCAAATTAATATCACACATTGCTCATTAGGAAGCAAAACCATTACAAAAACAATGTAATTTATTATCATCATCAAAATACATGAGGGGTAGAGAGATAAAAGGGTAGATTAATAAAAAAAGGTAAATAAAGGAAGATTAAAAGGAAGACAATTTCGCAGCATAGATTTCGATTGTAGGAAGAAAGTTGAACACAATAATTTTATAAAACCATGAAAGCTCTTTCGTCCAAGGTGAGGTTACATGAAAATGAATCGTAAAACCGACAAATTAATTACATATCACAAAGATCGGCATGAATTAGTTGAATACAAACCAATGAGAAGGTTCACACCATGCTTTACCTCAACTTGACGTGTGGACGAACTTAGCACTGTTCAAACGCTCTTCCATCACTATATAGCAGTACTGCCTAAACACAAGCACAGAGGTAAAGCTATCATATATGTCTACTTGGATAGGTGACTAGTTACAAATAACCGGCGATATTTTCCATTACTTCACCACCATTTCGAGGATGTCTAAATTAATTGTGAGCAATATCACATGGAAAACATTACAAATGGTGAGGAGCGAGTGATTTTCATCAAATATTTAGTGGAATTCAGGTAAGGTTGATTGACTAATATAAATAGACTAACCTAACATAACCACAAGGAGTATCTATTTATCAGCAACAAAACAAGTTTGAATAGTTATGTTTAAAGGCATTTTTTAATATAATTTGTTGAGTATAAAAAAGTGAGTATAACTCTTTCATGGCTTGTTTAGAAACAAGTTACAAGTACTGAAACAATTAATAGGTTAGGTTCATTTTAGATAAGTGAATGCTTTGTTGTATAAGTTCATTGGGGTGGTGAATTAATGGAGAATATCCACAATTGTATTCTCATCCCATATTTGTTTATTGTGAAAAGTTAGAAAACAAGACATTTTGTATAATCATTCTTCAGTTGAGTGACTAATTTATCAATAGAATAAACCACAAACAACTTAACTATGCCTAATAAATATTGTCATACTTTAAATGTTTAGACTAGTGGAGGTTGACCTTTTATGGACACTAAGATTGTTGATCTAAGGATTTTTCAAAAAACCTAGATAGTTTTAATACAAGAGTAAATAGTTTCTAAGTTGGAAATCTTTTTTGGAATTTGAGTTCAAAGTTGTACAAACCCCATCTTCGCTCAATGTTTGTGTACTAAAATGAGGCACTTCTGCTCTTTTGTACTAAACTAAAATCGTCTATCACCTCTCTAGTGTGTTTAAATGAGCTTTTTAATCAGTCATAAACCTACCACTATTTACGAGTAATTTGAGTGTGATATTAAAAAGTATTTGTAAAAAACTGTTTATAAAAATTCATCTCTTTTGAAACAAAAGTAAAAAATGTTTATTTAATCTGAAATTTGATACATATTTATACATATTTGTGTTATTAATTTTTTTACTACGGGATTATTATTTTGCTTTAATTACAAAAGAATTTTGTTTGCACAAAGAGACAATAGTTAAAGTATAGTAAGTAGTACATAGTTCCTCATATATATGTGAGTTTATTACACAAAATCTAATGAACTGTTACAAATTCTTGTTAACTTAATTAAGCTTCCAAAATTAAATTAAAATGCAACACGCCTTGATTATCTGAAAGTATACAAATTGAGACAACTTACATAAATAAACAAAAAATTAATATCACACTCAACTATCCTCCAACTAATGAAAAATCACAGTAATTTTCCTTATTAACTTTCTAAACAATCAAAAACTAAAACCTTTTCTTTACTTATTCAAAGATAGTTTAACAAATTATAAAATGTACGCAAAATAAACAGAGTATTTTATTCCTGTAACAAACATACAATTCTAAGCCTGTCAATTTCAATGTTCACTAAGCTTTTTACAATATGTACCAATATATATATATATATTTATACAAAAATAGTTGATAGACGAGATGGTAACTCGGGTGACGTGGCGAGGCTAATGTTACCTATCGTCCATCACGACTTGTTTGAACACGCCCAGTGATTTGACTTCGTGGCTGCCTAACGCCGTCGTCCCATCTTTGGCAATGTATAGTTGGAGACCTGACACTGGAACATAATATGTTGAATAATAGAAAAACTAAATTAAATACGGTACATGGTACCGTCATGATATTAAATGATATTAAAAGTCATGGACAGGAAACAGAAAAAGGGGGAAAGAAAAAAAAATGGCAATAATCCAGAAACAAAAAAGTGAGAAACTTAAGACACAAATGAGAAGAGCAAAAGATAAGGTATTATTGTGAGAGTTAAATGAGATAAACAAAAGAAAAGGGCAAGAAGAACTAAGGACAAGAATGAGATGAGGGATGGACACAGAATTAGGGTTGAAAGAGCGAAATCCTATGTAGGCATAAAACAGGTATTAGTGGGGCAAAAGGCAGAGTCAGAGCTAAAGGGGGAGGTCAGAGTAGCTAAAGTCTATGATAAAAGTTTTTCAATTTCGTTTAACTTTGGCTTGTGGTGTTAAAAATTCTTTTTAGACCTAAGTGATGAAATATACTATATCTTCTTCCTTAGATATTATGATAGTCAATAGAAGAGCATATTATGAAATATGATGCTCTTTCAGTTTGGCTTGGGGAAAAGTTTGCGTAATTGACAGAAATGTAGGATTGCCGACACACTGTGTCGGTGACTCAACTCCTTAGTGCTAATTCCATTCTACAGTGGCTACAACTTTAACGTTGGGATGGGATGTGTACTTTTTTCTCAATAGTCAAGAGGTAATAATGTAATAGTAATCAAAATAAACCTTTTCAAAAATAAGATTACTAATGTTTATCATCCAAGAATATAAACTAAGGAACAAAATGTAAAACAAGAATTTTTCACTAAAGAGTATATTGATGTTCAATTTGTTGACTTACTCTCAGTCTCGGAAGGTTCCAGGTTTGTCTCCTGGATCAGCTGGTCTATGAGAGGGTCCGGGTTGACTCTAGACGCCTCCACACGACCGCCCCCACCAGAGCCTTCCTCCGCCGCCTTCTTTCGCCTCTCCAGCGCCGCCTTGCCTCTGTCCAGCGACCCCGTCTCACTCAGACCCGATCCTGACGACGCGTTCCTGCATGACCATACTGGCTACTTAGTAAATGGGTGATAGTGATGGAAATATGATTTGTTCATTTAGTCTATGTATATATCAAAGTGTAAGTACAGTAGAAACTCACTAATCCGTCACTGACAGGACCAATAAGAATGGTTGAAACGCATAAAAGGTTGATTTTCTGAGAATAAAATTTTTTTACCAAAATACTAACCGATACGGTAGGTTAATTTAAACACATGTTTAAAAATTATGGTTTGAGGTGATACAACAAGAATATTATAAATAGAGTTAGCATTAAATTTACCAGGGTATTGTAGACAAATCAATACTTAAATCTATTAATGCAAAATCTATTAAGGAAAACTTCACCAACATGTATTCTTAATTAAATTACAATAAACTACTTTGATTGTAAATACTTAGCATGAACATTGGGTCTAACCCAAAAACTAGAATGTAAAATTTAGAAAAAAATTCTTGAACCGACAAAATGTGTATACTGCTGGGTGTAGGTTTTATTTGAAGTAGCTTTTTAGATAGATTGCACATTAAGAAACATCTTCCTCCAAACAAATTTTAATTTTATGTGTTCTAAAATTTTGTTGCAAACACAAAACATTGAAGTAATTATTTTCCCTGATCTTATTATCTGGTCCCATATAGTGCCTGGGCAGTGAGCGTCTACTGTATCTAATAAATCTCAAAATCCGAAAAAGAGTATTTAAAAAATTGATGTTATCTAAGAAATATTTTTTATGTTCATAAATTAATCTTCATGTTTCAACAATCTTGAAAGGCAAAGTAAAAACTTTCTCAATAGTGATTATAATATTTAAATTAAAAAGTGTGTTTGCATTCATGTTCCTGTGTAAGAATAAAAATGTCAAAACTATTAAGCCTGTGTCTGAATGTTAATCTTTTAAGTACTACTATTTTTAAAATGTACATCTAAAAAATAATAGTAGTAATATTATTGAAATTTATACTACTCAACAACAATTAAACCAACAAAAGCATCATGATGCATTATAAATAGGAAAACAATATAATGAAGCAAACTACACAGAAGTTACATTAATGTAGATCAATTTGGTCATGCAGTTCTGGATTAGTCAATAATTTGGCATGTGCAGTTTAAAAGAGAAATGACTGTAACACTTCAAAAAGAATATATACACAGGAAATTTTTCCATCACCAAAAAATAAGTTGCAAACACCATTAAGATAGAAACTTACTGTTCTTAAAAAAACGTCAGATTAAACATAATGTATTCTATGCAATTGTATACATCACAGAACATAGTAATAAAAAAATTTCAAGTTCAACGATACTTTTTGTTTTTTTACATTTGGTTGTATACAAACAAAAAAGTTGTATTTTAGAAAAGAATGAGCATCTTTAAAACTTGACATAAGCTCACATTCATCAACAAAAAACAAAAACGGTGTCACCAACTAAGTACACTTTGTCTCAAGAACATAAAGTTATTAAACAAAATCACAAGTTTAAAATAGTGAAAATATTAGAATCAGACGGGTATTTTGATTGAAATTGAAATTATTTCTATGCCCCACTAAAAGTAGAGTTTAGAGACTTCCAAGATAATTATGGTGTGATTCAAAATTGCAAAGTTGTAATGATGGCGCGCCCAATGAAAAAAACCTTACAAATTACATAAAAAAATCTGCTAATCTAAACTAACAGGGATCAGACCTTGTAGGCATTACCAAACAGAATAGGCAAAAATTCAGTAGAATTGCGACAAATACTTACCAGTTAACCAAATGAAACAAATCAAAGGATATTAGAAATTTTTCTAAATTTCCTGCTTGCATACAACATTCTCATATAATTCACTGACTTTTTCCTGATCATCAAAAGATTCACACACAAATTCTTGTTTTTTTTTTCAATTACCTGGTTTGATAGAGAGTTTGGGTAAAATTTCAGAACAAATAGAACACATGGGTTTTCAATTTAAACACAGTGTTCTTTTATTCTCAACAGGTGGTTTGGACTAGCAGAACTTTGGTGAATTTAAAATTGGAAAATATATTCAAAAAGGTTAGCTCAAAGTTATGATGACTTAGCAGCTTTATACGATTTTATTACATCCCTACAAAACTGGTAGAAACTGAATTTAATATAAAAGTATCATCAAAAGTTGAACTTTCAATTCAACATCATCTAGTGACAGTTCATGTTGGTAACATTGACACGTACACTTGACTGGTGCGCCGTATGAGTGGCGCCACTGGCGGGACGGCGTCACTCTCCTCCGGCGCATCCTCGGGACTGGCGACCGTCGGGAGTTTGGAGTTACTCTCAAACACCTTACGATGGCCTCCCCTAGAACCACCGTAGCAAACACCATAGTATACCCGTAACACACACCAGAAGTACAATATACCGTATAAACCACCAGCCCACCATAACACCACCAGCTAAGTACATATAGCGTTCGGCACAGCTTTCACAAGACTCCTGAAGGTTATGAAAATGTGAATGTGAGTAATTGGTTAGAACTGAACATTTATTCCTTATGTATGGGAGACGATATGGGAACTAGTTTACAGACTTGAAAATGAGCACTGAGAGGATAATAGGTATTTCATCAGTTAGGTGAAATATTGAAATTATTTTTGAACAAATATTACAGACTTATCAAACTAAAAATTATTATGAGATTTAAAAAATTTTAAATTTACATCCTAAACCATTAAACAAATTTTTTACATCACGGGTAGTTTAATGTCTGAAGACTCGTAATTCACATTTTAGTGTCTTTTGAACGTTGACCTATTACAAGCCAGCCAGTGTTAATATACCATAGTAATTTTACAATGTATTCGTTTTGAATAAATTATATTTATTAAACGGGTTCCAAAGATGTGTCTTTGTTTATTAAAAACCGTCAAAGTGCAAAAGCAATTTAGTCAAACCTATAAAAGGGGAAACATGAGGATAAGGGTTATGTTTGCTGATGAAATGAGGAGAAAACATCAGATTCCCTGTTCCTTCTGATGGTTCAGATGGGAACTTACGGGTAGTGTATTTTTTTTATTTTTTACTTAGAGACTGAAAATTAACTTGAGTTTTAAAATAAGAGACTGAAAATTAACTTGAGTTTTAAAATAAGTTGTTTACAATGTTGGTCTTCAGCCAAACAGAAAAATACAGAAGTAAACTTAATGTTACATTTGAAATTACATTTGTTAAATTTGAATATGTGCAGTTTGTCTATGATTTACAAAATAATTGAGTTGAAGGTCTTGGTTAGTAAATCTAACAACAAACAACGGGTTACAACAAGGTAACACTAAATAAACAAGCCATAATGCTCCTTTGGCATGACGTCATCAAAGGCGACGGCAATGATGTAATGTTTGCCGTTTGTGATCAGTTGCTTGTTTTAATCTTTTCTTGGAAAACAAAAATATAACTAAAAAAATAACATTACGTAATTGCCGTCGCCTATGATGACTTCATGCCAGAGAAGCAATGGCCTGTTTATTTAGTGTTGCTTTGGTTTCAAGTTTTACAGGACAAATTCAGAAGAAACAAGACAGAATGCAAGTAAACCGCAGCTCCCAATCCACCACCAAACCTCGGCAAGCCTTCACCATGCCCATAACAATCATGTCAGTTACCTCTGGTTAGCACCTTCATTGGGCAGCGAGGCCGCTAGGGGGGACAGAGGGCAGGGGATGGTGGGGGAGGAGGAGGCTCGGGGTGAGGGACCTGACCAAGGGGGGAACCTGAAGTTGGACCCCGGGGGAGGCCTCTGGGGGGTGCATAGTAGCAAGGGAGAGGGGGGGTTGTTGCTCCGCAGCCTCCCATTGGTCTTGGTGGGGCTGAGCCTTTGGCGAGGGGAGGGAGGGGTAGTGGTGGGTGTGGAGGGGATAGGGGCGAGGCGGGGGTTCCACCCAGGCCATGAGGGGGACCTGAACACACAAACACCTCAACAAATGTTTGAAAAACAAAATAAAGAAATAAAAACTTAAAAAATTAACTTTTTGCTAAATGAAAATTAAACACAATACGTAATATGAGTAAAATAATATTTTCATTCTTAAAAATTAAAACTTGTTAGGCCTATCAGAAATATTCAAAACAGAAAAGAATTGTTTGGTTAGTAATGTTATTACATAAAACATAGGATTTCATGTAAACAATGGGAGCTAATAAAAACCAGAGCTCAAGGTTCTCTAAGAGGTGTTTAATCTGAGGCACTAGGCGTATGTATGTAAACAATAATTAAAACATTTTAATAAAACATTGAATTTTACATACAATTAAGAAAATTACGAGTTAGTTAAACCGTTAAACATCCTAACTGCAAAGGGATGTTTCAGGGAAACCTAAAATACAGTTTTGAATGTTGTCGAGACCCAACAAGATGCATTTGCATGCAAAGCTCTATGCTTATCCACCTCCAAACCTTTCCAGAACAAAGTTTTTGTTAGCTCCCATCAATCAATCAATCTGTCTGGATAGCATTGAATACTGCTTTGCAGCAGTGGTGTAGTGGGGTGGGAACAGCGTTCCTTTTTTCCAAGGAACCCATAGTAGAACGTCGATTATCCGAATTAATTGGGGATTGGGGGTGTTCGGATAACTGATTTTTCGGATAATCGGTCATTGACTGGAAAAATACGGGGAACGGGAAATGACGGGAAGGGATAGCGGCCGGCGGTGATTTGCCGTTTTCACGTCTGTGGATAGCCTACTGTACAATAATATAAATTTTATTAATTAACATCCAGATTTATTTTTACAATACAGCAACAAACATGTACAACAGTACTTAGAACTGCACTATCAGAATGTGTACAGAAAGAACACATTCACGTTTACGTTTGGACGACATAGTCAGTGTAGAATGAAACAGTACAATAGAAACCCATACGAACTGTCACTGTCGAATGCTCACAGGCGACTGAGACTTGAGAGAGACGGAGACTAAGTCAGTGGGAGTAGGAGTGGTGCGCACGGCCATAGCGCACGACAATTTCGTCACGTATGCCCGCCCCGCCTCCCGCCTTAGCAGCCGTGCGGTGGCGTAGCGCTACGGCCAGTCGTGATTGGCGCGCGATTTTATTGATTTTTGCTTCTTTCTTCCTTTCGGTTAACCGACGTTTCGGATGACCGGGCTTCGGATAATCGACGTTCTACTGTATTGGTAAGCAACCTGACTGGGACAGTGGTGTCGTCCTGTAATCCAGCAACTAGGAGGTCATGAATTGTGGATATTTATAGGCATGCACTGTGGATACGATAATCCCTGGTGTGGATTAACGTCCGCACGCCTACAACTATCCGCAGTACTATCCTGATAATTAGACCAATTCGTTAATACCAAGGCAAAAATGTCGTTTGGATTCTGCTATAAACTGTAGGTCCCTTAGTTGTCATTAGCTGTATGGGCTATTAATTAACAGCTGTGTCTAAAAGGAATATTTCGGCCTTAGTCACTAACAAGACTAAAGGATCGCGCCTCTTCACTCATATTTGGGTTAAAAAAATACCCGCATATTGGCGTCCCCATCTTAAATAATTGATATTTATTATTTTTCCACGACATTGGCAAGCGATCCTGCACTGGAATATTTACGACTACACCACTGCTTTGCAGCACCCTCCAATCTTAAGCTAACTGACCTGACATTCTTATAAGGAATCAAATATAATATAATCCATCTAAAGTTGTGGTCAAAGACCAAAAATTGAAGTAGTAATCAATTCATAGAATAGTCATACTTTGCTTAAGATTTATAATTAATATTCCTCAAATGTGCCGATTTCTTGAGTTCGATGCATGCAAAATTAAAGCGCTGTTGTCTACTTTTGTTCTCTCTAAGGGAGATTTTTCTGCTAAAAGGATTTCTTGGAATGTCCCAGGACAATCAAAGTTTAGGAAATAATAGTAACAAAGTAGAACTGAATCAGAGATACAATAGAACCATCGTGTCATGGATCATGGATAGTGTCAACTAGAGTGATGAGTAGGATGTGCATGCGCACAAACATTCTTCCTCCACCATTATCTTTTGTTATTTTGTACAGACATTTAGAACATTTCCAGATATAACTAATACAAATGTTGAGAGTGGGGGAAGAGATTTCTGTCTCTCCTGATTGACACAATATTTACCTGATGTGTGTAGAGTCGCCGGAGCTGGACTGTCTGCTATGTTGACTGTTGAGACTACCGTAGCCGCTGCCCTTGCTCAGCTGACTGGTGTTGGAAGAGTTACGTGAGTGTCCCGGAGCTGCTTCGTGGTTCTCCTCAGCCTCCGCCACGCCAGGCCCCGGCCCCGCAGTGGGGACAATGCCCAGGTCTCCAGGCTCCAAATGGGGGCCGTCTGGCACCAGCTCTGCAACCACACAGCTCAGTTGTTGTTGACATTACAGTACCTTGATCTTTGTGGGTTGAAGATCTTAAGTATCAAGTGAAAATAAAATAAAAGAAGATTTTTAGCAATCTTTTGATATTGAAGAAATAAATGTTGTACTCCTTATTAATTTTATTTTCTAGAGATCAAACGATACCTGAGAGTACAAAATTAATTATGTACAATACTCCAAATAGAATTTAACCAAAAGTTTGCAAGAATGTTAAAACAATACATCCTAATTCTAGTTGTTCACTACATAGGTATTTCATTAGGTTTTTACCAAAAAGTAATATTGTAGTTTTCATTTTATATCTACGTAGTATTCATGAAACCTACAATCTTACTCTTTGAATTATGCCAGAAAAACACACTATAGAATTCCTCTCAGTAAATTGTAAAATATTATGAACCTAATTCTTAATACAGTAAAATCCCTTTCAACCGCACCCTGATAAGCCTAAACCTGGATTAACCAAAACCATAATCAAAAGGTCAAATCAATTATATCCTTTGTTAGTAAATCCAGGTATTAGATCCAGGTTGTTGGCCTGGCTTGGCCAATATAGGTAGAAAAGAAATATAGATTTTGTGTAGGCCTACACAGTTGCAAATTTAAAGATGGCGGTAATTAAAATAACATAAAACAATGTTTTTGAACTCTTTGAACCAAGATATAATTTAAATTCAACAAAAAAAAAAGATTACCCAAAATAGCCATGTCCCCTTATGTCAGTTAATTTGGATTTTACTGTACTAACTACTAACCCTTCCAGGAGCACGTCCTACCTTGAATGCTCTTCGCGGTCTTTAACACAACATGTTGCCTTCCGGAGATCCAGCCAAAGACGTAAACTAACAAAGTAGCCGCCGCCATTTTGAGGCCGCACCAACCCCCAACCCTGTCCAGTTCAGTGCTCACATCGGCCACGGCCACTCCTCTCGCTGACAACATCCGTGAATGAGACTCGGCTTTACTCTACCCCCTCCCTGTCACCGGTGGTATACATGTGTTGAGTTTGTGGAAGTATTGTATAAATGTGAAAGAGTGTTTACGCATAAAAATGTGTAAATACATTAGGAGAGAAAAAAGGGGTATGAAAATCTCATAATCATTGACAAATATTTGGATGAGAAATAGTAATGTGTGAAGAGAAATTAATGAGTTATTTCTGATTGGATATTTCAAGTCTCTTTTTGAGTCAGATTTGACTTAACCCTTTCTACTCGTATGTTGCGGCCGCCGCGACATTTTCAGCATCCGCTTTTTATTAATAAATCCCTTTTATATAGTGTTTGCATGTTTTGAATTTGTGTTGAATACATACTTAATGATTTCCTTATTCATTTTACATGTCTTTGGTTGCTTGAAAAATAATTGTAAGTTTATTTAGTCAGCTGTGGATTAAAGAATAGAGAAGTGTAAATAGTAACCATGACGACCAAAATCACCAAAAAATCTAAGTTTGAAAATGCATTTTTTCATTAAAAATATACCTAATCCTTCTTGTAATGGCCGATTTGAATTGGCAACTAGATACCTAACTAATGTTGATAAAGTGTTTTACAAATCCTGAAAATGTGTTAACGTTTTTTAAAAAGCCTCCCAAAAAATATTTTGTACATTTTATTTTGCTTTTTTTTATATTATGATCACACAAAAAATATTTTATGGGTATATTTATTTTGATATTTTGTTTTACTTGTGTACAATTTTATGCTGAATAAGAATCAAGCCCTCAAGTACAACAAATAATTTATTTTAGTCAGTATATGTACACAAAACTTAAAACATGTTTTTTTGCATGGCAATAAATGCAAGCGTATGGGACAACAAGGGGTCAACTAATCCGAGTGGAAAGGGTTAAGAACAGACGTCTATTTTTGTGGATTTTTGAATCACAAGATTGAAATTCCGATAACAGGCATTCTCCTGTGATCCCTCCCACTAAATTTCTTTAGCGTTAGGTTTTTCAAACATCCATGGTGTGTGCATGAATCTGTATACAGTTCTGTTACTGTATCACTATACAAACACAACGGTCAGCACAAATCGTAATATGATTAGGAGGCTTGGGACTACAAAAGGTTGTCTTTGCCTACAATGAGTTGTATATTCTGTGGGTGGACGTTTATTGATTCAGTAATTAGATCCCACACAAAGTTGTTTTTTTGTAAATACAGAAAAAAATAAAAATAGCAGCAAATATTTTTTATTCAGATTGAAGTTTATTTCGTTGGGATTAAAGTATGCAAAACAACTTTTTCCTAATAAAATGTGCAAAAAAGTAAATTTTTGATTAAAATAAAACTTTATCAATCAATGTTTTGGTGTTTCACAATGTTATGTATTGTGTAGTATTTGTGTTGTGCAGTGACAGGGAAGAGTCTGTTCCGAAGCAACGCAACACAACCCAGGCTGTGCGACTGATGAACGTGTGACACATTAAACACACCTCTCATTCCCCACATCCTTCCAACTCTGACATTCTCATCTTCTAAACCAAAAATATTATTTAAATTTTAAGTCTCGGATAGTATTACCCTACTCATTTGTTAGTATTTTAGGGTGTGTATTAATTTTTGTTTTGTTACTGAATTGCTTAGTTATCAACAAATGTTTAGGCAGTAGTTTTGATCTTTTTCACCAGGTGGGGTATGTATATTTTTTAGAAAATTACTATTGAATATTTTTGATGAAGAAAATTCAATTTTAAATTCATTTAAAGACAGTGATGCACACTTTGGTGTTTTAAGCTGAATATGAATGAAAAGTGGGCAAAGAATGGGAGTGAGCTTTGTGTAGTTTGCTAACTAATAACTTCTTCAACAGAGCTAGATTTTAATCAAAAATGAATTATAGTAACAGTTTTATTTTTGCTATTTTATTTTGAGTTTTAAAAACCTTTTCTCCATTTAATACTGTCAAATTTGTATTCAATTTTTAAACTCAACTTTTTTATATTTTGAATTTTTTCACATATTACCCACCATATGCAATTTTATAACTACAGGTTCATTCTTTCGACACAACTTTATTTTAATTGCTATTATAGTTTAGTGATAGGAGATATCAGAGGGATGAACAGGTGCAGAGGACGTAGGACCATGCAACTTAGTCACAGTGAGACACAGAAAGCCGCATTGTTAGTGACAACACAAGCGACGGAGCTGAGGATTATCAATCGATATCTCTTGTTCATTGGACCACCATAAACTGCTAGTGCTACGGTCGAAACATTCAATGGTCTGTGTCTAACTCTTCTATATTCTCCTCACCAACACAATAGTATGAACACTGAACTGGAAAGGTTTATGCCGCAAGTAAAACCAGCAAAGCAAACTAAGTAAGTATAAATAGTTACTGAGGTAATTAGGAATCATATTACTAACCAAATAGTCTTGTTAAGTCATATAGTTTAGTTTAAGTCCAGCAATTAATAACAAACTAGTTTTTCTTAAAAAAGTTTACATACAAACAATTTTTGAAAATAGGTTATGAATAAGTTGTAATTTGAATCTATTCACTCTTTACAACAGCTAAGATGGAACATAATTTTAAAATAAAGAATCATAGTCCCAATTAAGAGCAAACGATCATAATATTGGCAACCCCTAAAAGCTGGCCCTCCACCAAGTAGCTTTCCTTCACCCACAGTTATACACTGTGCTGATGACCACAAATGACTGTGCTGACAGATTAAAAAACAATAAATAATCTATGTTGATAAGCAATAAGCATATATGGTTATTAAAACTATAATTTTGTACTCCGGGAAGCAATATCTGAAAAATCAAAATGATTAAATCATAAAAAATAGGATTTTTAGAGTAACGTGTGACATCTTGTATTATTAAATATGACTTAACATGAAATTCTAAGTTAATTTATTATTATTATGAATAAACACACTTATTCTGTAACTATAATAATAATAAATAAATAAATCTTTATTGTCACATAACATTTATAAATAGGCTACAGCAAGTTTTTTTGCCTATGTATGTCGGGGTTTTTTCTACTATAATGTATAATTTACAATAGTCTAGGTGATAGCCTAAAATCGGTTATATCCAGCAAAAGGTCGAATATTTGAAAATAAAACTGTAAATCAAATAATGATGAGAATAGTCTGTTTAAATATAAAAGTTCTAAACAATCTGGTGCAGCAGAGAAATTCTAGCAAAATAAAGTTATTTTCTTTTCATTTCTCTATTTATTTATCCAAAACAATCATCAATTTGATGTAACTCTGTAAACGTGATCTTCAAACCAATCTTACAAGAATTAACATAACTCAGTATTGCTTAGGGTTTTCCTGTGTCAGGTTTTATTTCATTATATTTATTTTTATATATAATTCTAAGATTTTTTGTAAAGTGGTAACTGATCTTAAATAGCAACATTTTATAACAGCGAACTATGATAGCTTCAGTTGACTCACCAGAGTTGAAGAGGACTGGCCGTTTCTTGAGGCTGCCACAGCCCGAGCTCCCGCTGGCTATGGACCCGCTGGAGTAGTCCTCCCTGTGCCTCTCATTGGTCTCATCTGGCGCAACACTCACGATCATCTGCTTGTGCTTCAGTGAGGGAGAGGGACTGTCAACAGATACACACATTTAACATTTCACCTAACAGGTTCCATTACCATTTTAGAACAAATAGAAAGCTATTTATTTGATTGGTGTTAATTTTTTGTAATACAGAGGTGTTGATATTTTAGAAATTGTTGCAAATATTTTCTAACATGGCTATTATTAACCATGGGGAAAACACACATTACTAGACAGAAAACTGAATATTAGTAGAAAAATAAAGAATTTGTAGTGACATAGGGCGTTCACAGTTTAGCCATTACCAGGGAAGATCTTCTTGATTTCACTGTGACTTCTAAATTTTCCTGTGACCACAGATTTTAATTCTGTCCTGACTGCAAAAGATGTTAACAATTTCACCGTGAAATGGGGGAGATCATGTACGATACATGTATGAACGGATTGTAGTATAAAAATTAATAATTAAAAAAATCAATACTTTTCAAAACAGTTCAACTTTTGTCTGAGACTCAAGGCCCAACCTGAAGGAAAAGAAAGTCTTAGCCTGCAGACCCCTAGTTCACCGGTGGGGCACACGGGAGGGACTAAGGCTAACATATCTTGTAGTGTCTGCGTTCGCCGCTAGGACTGCTAAGTTGAAAAAATTTAAATTAATTTTTAATTTTTTGTTATAAAATTAACTTTTTAATTATAAAACATTGTTTTAAAATTATAAAATAAATTTTTAATTTTTAAAATTAAACTGTCATAACATAACCTAACCAACCAGACTTGCTGATAATATAAAAACTATATAAGATAAAAATCTAATTAATGATTACTTATAATTTTTAATTAATTATAAAATTTAGTATTATAAAATTAAACTGTCATAACCTAACCTAACCAACCAAACTTGCTGATATGAAAAATTTGTTGACAAAAAGTTAGTGCTGCCAGTGGGATACGAACCCCGGACCTCCTGAACACCAATCCGAAACGCTACCAACTATGCCACGAACGCCGCTGAAATCGCATCGTTTCGTTACGGTAATCGTGTCGCCTCAAGAGAAGACATTAACCACTAGAGATATGACGTAACTACACCTTTAGCCTTAGTCCCTTCCGTGTGCCCATTCCCCTAGTTCACTATATTGTACAATACTCAATTTATCATGGTAGTACTCACACTTTGAACAGAACGTCTCCGGAAAGCATGTTCATGGTGATGCTAACCATCAACATGGAGTTGTCCTGACGATGCCTGGTGTCGTAGCCTTCCAGTAAACACCTCCGTGTGGTCTGACCCGACCCTGCAAACTCTGCCAGGTTCAGGTCACAGAACCCCAACTTCTGGAATGATCTTCCTCCTTTCAACTCCTGCGAACATAAACACAGGAATAGGCTAAAGAATCACCAGACGGAGTGAATTTCTCAACAAATATTGTGCTAAATTGTTGTAGTCAATCATGAAGAGAATTCTTTGAGTGGACCTAATTTTGAATACTATTTAACAGAGTAGATGCCTCTATGGTATTACAACTCACCAGAGTCAAAGAGGAAGGGCCAGTATTCTCAGTCTCATTAGACATTTTGAGTTTAATAGGTAATGCAATTGCAAACATTAATCAGTAACTATACTTAAATATTTAGTTTAATTACATTTGAACCATTCAACTTCCACAAAATGTTAATGCAGGATTAGGAAGAGTGTCTTATAAGGTGAGATGATTTGTGTGTAGCGGTTTTTGCTTTCTTTAATTCAATCACTCATTCAAATGAAAAAATAAATCTATATATTTAATACGCTAGGCATATTTTTGTCATAATTGTTTTGGAGTGGTGGTGCTACCGATCACCATGTCCAAGGTGTTGTTAGAAAGGTCTTAGCATGTAGTTTTGCCATCTAACAAAAAAACTTTGGAACTCCATCAGGGCTCTGCCCCAGTGGCCTTCCAAGTTCTCATGTTATTCTTAGGGAGAACATTTTTTTACATTTGAACAGATGAATACTTTGAAATTGCTACTAATATTTTAAACATCTGGTTATACTAAAATTGGAGACGTGTGCTATAAGGATTTATTAGATTAGTTGAAAAGATTGATGTTTCACTGCTTTAAGCCAGTTTTTATTTGCACATAGCCTAATCATAACATAGCCTAACCAAAAAAACGTTTAACATAATGAAGACTATAAGACGTCGAGCAGGACGGCCAATAGGAAGAGGCTGATGGACTTTTACTGGTAGACGCGAACGAAATACAAATAATACTACAGCAAGCACCCTTCCGTGTTGGGTTTAAATAAGAGAGAACAGGAAGAAGTCTTGGATAGGAAAGATCTGGAGATGAGAAAATAAGACTTGATTAGAGACAAAAAAAAACAATTTAGACGTTTAGGGAAGTAGATAGAGAAATAGGCAGCCAAGGATACGCACAGGCGTTTAAATTGAAAAAAAAAACAAAGAACAACAAAGAAAGAAAAGAATGAAAAATTCCCCATGAAGGTGAGATGAATTGTTAGAGTGAATCCCAATGATCCCCATCGCTCAGGGCAGAAAGAGGAAGGGAGCCATGCCCTTAGGGTTTTGGACACATATTGTGTTTGGACGAGGATTGAGTGGTGTGGCCAAAGCCTGAGAAGATAGAAGATTATTCCCGGGAAATCGGCCAGGCAAATAAGTCCCAGGCTTCAGAGGTGGTGATGGGAACGAGGGGTTTTGATTGATCATTTAGGCTATCATCTATTTAGTCAAAAGAGAATCTTTTATTGACTTTCACAAAATAAAAAAAAAACAAAAAAAAAACTGCAAACACAGCACGTAAACTGTGAACTTAATTAGGCCTTTAACCATCTCCACCTTTAACAACAAAAACAAGAAACCAGAAAAAGCCAAATAAAAAAGATCAATAAAAATGCTTCTTCTACGTCTAGATTGCGCACGATTACGTGCACCAGGATCACTAGTTTCACTAAATATCTTTTATGAACCACAAAAGTCCTGAAAGGCCACAATAAAATGTAACAGTCCAATAATTCTTTGGCCAACAGCATTATTCTTAGTTTTTATTAAAACAACATTTACTTAAGGTCATAAATAATTTACTAAACGCCCGATTATTAAGAGCTGAGTCCAGTTTCAGACTGACATTTATTATTGTTATTTTTATCATACTCATAAATTATTTTCCTGATACTTTTTTTACATTCATCCAATATTTATAAAAGACAAATACCACTCACTCACTGATCACTATATCTCAAAACTACAAGCCATTAAGAACTCTGGGATTGGAATTCCTTAATTATTGAATTAAGCTCTAGGTGTGTAATGATAAGAAGTGTTTTCAAGAAAATCCATCAGGGCTCTGCCTCAGTTGCCTTCAAAATAACTTTGTATAATTAATCTTTTATTCCTTATGAAGGCCGAAGCATTTAATGAGGCTTCTGTATAATAATAATAATAATAATAGCCTAATAATACAACCAAAGCACGAGGAAAGGTATTTTTTTTAGCTGCAAATGGACAACACATTAAAGATTATTCAGAATATGAACTTAAACACTGCATTTTTGTAAAAAAAATCACTTTACTAAATCAGTAGAATAATACACTGAATTTAAGAAGCAATTGCAGTTTAATTAAATTTCAACCCATAAATAAAAAGCTTTTCGATACAAGTACGTAATAGTTTTCAACCTACAGGTACATCTATCCTCAATGTTACAGCCAGACATAAAATATTGGATTTTCTGAAGAAGCAGTAAATGTTATTTACAGTCCTTTGTGCAGGAATCAACCGACTTCAGGTGGTCCTTATTGTTGAACAACAAAGACACATTTATTCTCTAAAAGGAACACAATCCTTGTCCATTGTTATTTTTATTGATCCTCTGTTTTACATTCAGTTAAATTTAACCTCTTTGTACGGAATATAACATATGAGCTTTTCTTTTTCAATCTAATATAAAAAATAAATCTAGAAGTAAATAAGAGAAAGCTTACAGATGATAAAAATGTATAATTAAGTTTAGTAAATCTGCTAAGGTGTGATAGATTCACTTAAATAAAGAATATTTTCATCTTCAAGGGCATTACATTTTTTAGAACATGTAGCTAACCTAGAGTTGTATGCATCAACAAAGTATATTTTTGGTGTATACAATGCAGAGGAAGGTGTAGAAAAACATAAACTGATAGTGGAGCATAATCATTCATAAAAAACTTTCCGAGACAATATTTTTTAACAAAAAACAATTAAAATTCAGGTCCAATATATTTAGACTCAGTGTGGCAGTTCACAGACAAAATGTGACCCAATATGATGGTTAATGATTTCCCTTGAATGGTTCTTTATATTTAATTTCCCCAGGGTAAAAATATGAACTCCATTTTCCAATTTATATTTTAACAAGGAAGGTTATTTTCAAATTAAATTACCTGTAGTGACTGGCCAAAAAGCCAAGCCTTACTATGTAAATTATTTAAGATAAGATATCAATTAAAATATAACATTTAACTGGTGAATATAGAAAACCAATTGACTGGAAGCTCAGATTGATGATGTGTCTATAATTGATCACCAAGTGAGGGTGACAAAGGCCATCAATAAAGTTGACTGACAGGGTTCTTGTGTGACTTTGGTTAGATAATGTGGAATTCATCCTGATAGCTATACACCAGAAATATTGTCAATTTGAGCTAAAAATGAATGCAAGTAAAATGTATTTGTAAAAAAGAAATTAGAGCGAACATAATATTTTTTTATAATTTGATTATGATACCACACTCTGACTATTGAAAACTATGACAATCAATTAAATCCATCTAAGAAACCAATAACTGCAATGTAAATGGATCTTCACATACTTAAAATACTATTTTTAAACAAATACTGAAATAGAGATGGATATGTAGTCAGCAACTTGAAACTAAACTGTAAAAAAAATGTGTTCAATTTGTATTTAAGATTTATAGTCCATGTCTCAAAAATATTTCACATTCATCTACCAATGAGTCTAATTTTACTCTAAAACACATTAATTATGACAATACTTGAGAACTAATTTACAAACTTTATAAAATTAAACTGCCACCAAACGGATAGTAATTTCATAATCAACCCACTCTTACTATAAAAAACGTATGCACCAAATTACAAAAGCAGATCCTAACTGCTATATAGGGTGTGAAGAAACGAATGAATGACAGACCAAAGACCAAACAGATGTTGAAGAAGTCAGGGAGTGGTTGAGGCTGGGGAGTGGAGCTACAAAAAGAGCAATAATGACTCCGGGCTGGACTGTGAGCTCATCATTGGATCAGCTGTGAGGTACAACTACAGCAATAGCTGTTCTCTCATCTGGGAATAGGTCATACATACAGTATCATTAGAACTGAACTGAGATGAGGTTTTAATGAACCAACACAGGTTTGGAGGAAAACATAAGTCAAATATAACACCGGGAATAATGGTTTCACAACTGCAAAGTGTGTTTGAGAGTTTGTGGCTTTTTATGATCCTAAATCCTAAAGGTAATGTAAATTGTTTACTTAAATCAACTAGTATTGGGTGATTTATTTCGTGATCGCTGGAGACATTTTCAAGTATTTTTTTGTAAAACAACATATTAACCTACGATAACTTTTTCTTTCCACAAGCTAGTGTTGACCATTTTAGCAAAATCATAAATTAATTAATAGCCTGTAAGGAAAGTTATTTTACAAATTACTTTCAAAGAGGTTCAACATGAAAATTCTTTTACAGCTTAATTGTAAATAATTTAGCTTAGATAATTATCTAAAGTTCAAAAATTTTCTTTCAGTGTTTTGCATACATTCAATATGGCAAGCCTAAAATACGTAAGTGACGATTACACACCTATTTCAGACAATCCTTCACTTATAAAGACGGGTGGTGAGTTTTAAGTTTTTCCTTGCTAGGCTATGGGAAAAACTTTATGCTAAAACAAAAAATTATAATATTTCACTGTCACTGACAGCATTTTGATCTTGTTCCTGGATCCCCGACTTTATTCGGCCAAAAAAGCTGTCAGTGAGGCTAAAATAATCGCGTATGGTCTAAAAAAAGTTAGGCCTAGTCACAAAATCATCTACCTAAAGATTGAGTTTCATGTCAGAATCAGACAAGCATTCTATCAAAAACCGTAATCATTAACTCATACCCTTGTGTACTACATTAAATCAAGCGCACTAAATAAGTTTACCCTTCTCTGTAGTTTACTCTCTTACTCTACTTCTACCACATTTTTCAAGCACAGAACCCACCTTCCTCACAGATACCCTCAGTATACATTGGTCTAGGACACCGGTGGAGGCGTTGGCAGACATCTTACACTGGAAGGAGAAGTTGGCTCCCCACTTGACTTTGTGGTCTTGGACCTCTTCTCTGAAACAAAAAACAAGTATAATTAGACATATTCATGTGAGAAACAAAGGATTGGGATTCAGGTTAAACTAGAAGAACCATAGGATGAAATAAATTTAATGAAGTAGTAATAAAAACACATTTTTAGAGGTCGGTGGCCCTGGAGGGTATCCAGCTGGGGTGAGTTGGTACAGTAAAAGGGTAGCCTAAGTGTACTGATTTGAGTTCAAGAAAGTTGAGTTAAAACAAGTTTCAGTAGAATGTATAGTACAATTAATTTACAACTTTTTTGATCCAAATTTGTTGAGGAAACACTTTCATCTAGAGTAGCATTGTTGGATGGAGATTTTAGAAAAAATAAAATGTTAGTGGTGTAAATTATTCTACTTTGAGCTAAATTGACCTCTTAAATATAAATACTATAATAATTTGTAAACAAATAGTTATTATTTTTATTTAAATTTAATTAGGTATAGGAAAAGTAAATGAAAGTGTTTCCATTTGGGGTATTACAAAAGTAAACTTAGTATTGAAATTGAATTTTAGATAACACGGAGAGCTCGACACCGGGGTCGAAAACTCGACCAAAAGTAGGTATTGTGCAAACTTGTCTATTATCACCCCACGCTGTAAATAAAACATGTGATTGGAATTTTTTCCACATTTGTTTTGATTTTCTGTTTATATTTTGTTGTTATTTTGTCACCAGCATGGCAACCCATAAGACCCATGTTAATTTTTTAAAATTTCAAATTCATTTGTTGGGCTTATTTTTGAACTTATTTTAATTTATAAAGGGATTCTGTATATCTACAGGAAAATATCTTTCATTTGGTACCAACCGTGTGTAATTCGGTCCAGTACCAAAGCTAGCTGTCATAAGTTTTGCAAAAGTTTGTTAGTATATAAGATAATTTTTTAACTATCATCTTTATTGAATTCATAAAAATGTAATTCCTTTCATTAAAAAATAATTTACAATGTATATTTTTTTCAATAAAAAATTGTCCAAACTAAAACTTTGAGTTATTTTAAGCGAATAATATTTTGTTTTATAAAAAACTAGCTGTAACCCGCGGGCTTTGCCCCTTTTAACTTCTTAATTTTCAAGATTATCTCGTTCGCATGGCTCAATCACGTCCTGGTTGAAGTTTGTTCGATACGCTCACTCACCTTTAGGTTGGAGCTCGTTCGCTACGCTCACTCACCTTTAGGTTGGAGCTCGTTCGCTACGCTCACTCACCTTTAGGTTGGAGCTCGTTCGCTGCGCTCACTTGCCTTCAGGTTAGCTCGTTCGCTACGCTAACTCGCCTCCAGGTGTAAGTTCGTTCGCTACGCTCACTCACCTTTTGGTTGCAAATTAGCTGTTGTCATAAATGTAAAAGAAATAATAGTGCTGCACCCTGTTGGTAATTTTTGTAACTTTAATGCTATTGAACATCACAGAACAGAACCAACTTGTTTAATTGAAACAGCTGTTAAGATTCAATAATTTCATTTCTCATAAGGTTAACATGGGAAACTCCAGAGCCACTGGGGCGGAGCCCGAAAGGATTTTTGAAATAAGAATATGCCTATAATGTTAATCGGGAATGTGAGCTATCATCATGCCAAATTTCAACCCAATCCGACCAGTATTTTTCGCGTTCACTTGTCACAAACATACATCCATACATCCATACATCCATCCATCCAAACTTTCTCATTTATAATATTAGTAGGATTAGTAGGATAAATCATACTTTGACATATTAAAAGTACAGATAAGACATTTCCGCCCACCAATATTTTAAACTGACACAGAACATTTGTTCGAGTGTAAAGGTTTGTTGCAAAGAATGTCACTGAGTTGTTACAGTTACAGAAAGTTTTCCCGATACAATGGGCTTCAACTCCTTCAAACAACTTTGTCTTTCAGTTCAAGAAACATTTAGTTGCGATGTCTCACAAACACTGGCTGTATTTCAAGTGGTTTGGATGAAAGTATTCTGAAATTCATTATTTATCTCTTACCGATTTGTGTTTGGGTTGATTTATTTTTATAAATAAAAGAATAGAAGACTAAAATCAAATTATAATTTTCCAAGAAACTGGGTTTTTACACTACATGACTACATTGACAGACCTAAAAAACACAATTCACATGGCTTGTATAAGAACAGCTACCTAAATAGTTTTTTTTTGTTCACTGACTTAGGCAGGTTAGAATACATTGAAATTTCTGTAAAGGAAAAGATCAATTTTAAAATAATTAGACTGAAAAAAATATTGATTGATAATCGTCAATAAAATTAGTTTCAAGAAACTAGACCAAGCCCTTGTAGTAGAATGTTTAATGAAACAGGTATACGAAAGCCAAGTTTGTTTCTGTGGATATTGCATCTAGTTTAAACTTACCAAACTTTGTTGTTAAATTAACACTTTCTCACCTCTTTAGAATATCCTTCCTACAACAATACAATCCTTATATATTCCTTTTACAAGGTTTTGAAAATCAAATGGACATACACTTGGCAATGGGGTTTTATAATTCTGATATAATCCAAGTTTTGTATTACAACACTCGACCTAAGCCTGAGCCTAAGGGATGTTTGATATTTTGAACCAGAGTTTTTATTACCTATACAAAAATCCAATCGAGGGTTTTAAAATTCAGCACAATAGGACTTGTTTGGATAAACCTGTACATTTTTCCAATTACAGTTGTAGTTCTTGACTAGGTTGTCCGTTTGAGGTCCAGGTTTGCGGCATTTTTTGGTTATATTGTTTTTTGATGTCCATATCAACTTATGCTTACCTTTAAGATTTTCAACTTACTCCCTATGGGCCGTCTCCCAAAGGTGACATCCGATTGCCATGTACACAAAAATGTAGCCTACTATTACCAGTAATGATATGCCAAATTTGGTTGTGATATATCTTTTCGTTTTAAAGTTATAAAGTCGTCCTAAGACTTAATTGACACCCTGTATATAAACTTGGAATTGTTAACATTAATTGGTTCAAGAGGATAATCTAAACTAAAAAAGAAACAGTCATTTCTGAGGAGGTCTACTTTAGAGTAAGATTAAACGTTTTATAAACAAACTCCAAAACTCAACTTGACTATGGAGGGTGCAAAAAATCAAGTTAGGGTTTATTAAATAAAAAGCGAACACGTGGTAATTGCGCCTTCAATTTTCCAGTCCATTTACCCACGTTGCAGGGTGCGACAATTTCACAAATCAGCTCACATCAAACTTCAGGAAAATTCAATTTGTAGACATCGCTCAAAATTAAAACATGTGTTTTACCTTTTAGTATCCAATGGTAAATGGTTTTACATATAAATACCCCTGCCGCAGCAAACCTGCCGACTAAGCGAATTTCCATTTGTCTTAATTGATTTTCAATTAAATATATTTTAATAACATTAGGTTTAACGAGTACCTAGGTTTGCTGCTACAAGGAAACTAATAAAGTGTGTTTTTTTGTAAAATATTGATAGCTTAGTACAAAATAAAAAAATTTGATCAAAATACAAAATATATCCATAAACAAGCAAACTACAACATTTGACAATATTCTCCATAAGAATAACATGGATTTTAAATTTACAATTTTTTTAATTTTCTCCGTTACTATTAACCGAACAAAAATACTTTTATATACTAAATTAATTGTTGTTTTAAGCTCTTTAAAAAGGGCTAAAGAGAAATTGGGAAATTTTGTGTTTTGAGGGTCAAAAGTGAGAAAAACCAATTTTTACCCCATAAAACCCCCCGTAAAGCCCCGTTCCCATGGTCCGATCATGCTGGTTCGCGAACTCATTCAAGTTTATCCCGCTTTACACCTTTAAACCAAATTTCATCAAAATCGGACAAAAATTACTCAAGTTATCACGTTCACGGACGTATATATATATATATATATATATATATAAAGTCTATATATATATATATACATATATAAAAATTTGAACGAATGGTGTTTTTGGCCTCTGGGGACATCAAAATGAAAAAGTAAATCGGTCCCGGGCTTAAGTCTTACCATGAGACCTACGGTAATAGCTACTTCCCTATAGGAAAATTCGCTAAAACATATAAAACAACATAAAAACATAGATATAAAAACAAACTGTTACACATTACGTTCTTTAAATATTAAAATATGTTTGTAACCTCGTAGTTTTTGTCTAATAAACAGTATCACTTTTGAACCATGGAAAAATTAAGACTTTCAAATTAGGGTTTTGACTGACATTAATGGGAACTATGCCACTTATGTATGACGATTAATAAAACAAGTTTGGAAATAAAACGGACAATGTTTGTCCAGCCTAGAGATCTATCAAGCATAAAAAAATAAATGTTGTTTAGTTACAGTGACGTTGTTATATTTGATGTACTAAATTCTAAATTACTTAACAAATGTTAGCTATCAATACAAATTCGCAGCTTCTTATGACCATAGAACAGACAAAATCAACCCTTAGTTTATTTTAACGAGTGATCCGGAGTTGTGTAACCTGGTCTAAAATTAACTCTTTAAGTAGAACTGAGGTATTTGCGTGTTTATCTATTTCATAAATCACGCTTGGTCGTACATCTGGTAAAATCTTTACCAAATCTGAAATTCGATTCTGTTAACCACACAATCATACAATCAACTGAACAACAATTACAGTAGACTAAGTCCATTCTAGTGTATGATAGACATGTACATAATGTGTTTGTTCAATTGGTATGATGAAAGACATTCAGACAGACAAGAGCGGAACTACCAGGGACAAGCATATCCTGTCTGAGTGAATGAATAAATCAACTGTTTGTTGGGGTAGGTCGTGGTTTGGGGGGTGGGGGGGGGATTATAATTGAGAGGGGGTTGAGGCAAGAGAAAAACATAGCTACAGCTGTTAACAGTTATTATTTCTATAATAAATATAATATGTATATTTTAAGAATCCACATTCCAACCATCCATGAAAATTAACTGTACCAGATAATTTATTAAAATATATAAACCATCCAAGCTTTTATTGT